ACCGTAATTACTTACCTATAATGTTGACAATTTTGAATGTTCACAATCTAGTTCATTCTTCAAAGTTGAAAATGTTCACAGACCTCCCTGAAATGAAGTAATCTTTTCCCAACAAACCCATTTGCAGGTTCGAGCAGACTTCGAGAATCAAAACAGAGCTTCCTGGTCTTGCTGGCTGGCCCGTTGCCAACGCAAGCCTGGTACAGTTCTTCTCTCCGCACTTGTTGGCTCCGTGTCAGCCCTGAGAGAGGACGTGTTTGAAGTCTGAGCCAGATTCTCTCAGGCATTTACATGATCTGAAATATACAGTACAATCCCTCTACGGATTCTCTTTCTCTATAACGCACGTGATGAAATCAAAGTGTTGTGCCATTCACATTCTACTGGATGACTGGCAGGCGTGATATTTCATCCATACATCTTTATGTTTATAGGAGATAAAAATTGACTTGCGTGACCAGAACTTGTTCAAACCTCGAGGAGGAAGTTTCACCCTGCTGCCACAGCTGGCCACGCTGAACAGACCCCTTAAGCACCCACGCGCTGCCAATGACAGCACAATTATGCTCAAACTTTTGAAAAAAGTAGCTTTGTTTTCCCGACGGCAGGGCCTTTGTTCAGGTGAGATCATGATAATACAAGTCAGACACTGTAATTTGGTTAAAAGACCGTTAGGACACGGCTTGATAAAGACAGACCTTATTTAGCGTGAGACCCGGGGTTGCACGGCATGCTGGGGATTTTTCATCATGTTGTGCGACATATTTACAGTACCTGGACACATTAATGTTGCACTGTAAGCATGGAAACCTTCATTAGTCTGCCATACTCCCTGTCGGGCTAATTATTCTAAAAACCCTCATTAGCCAGCCGTCAGGAAGCAAACGCCTCGAACTCTTCCTCTTCCTCCGCCTTCGTCCTCTTCTGTTACTTCTGGGAGGATCTCCAATCGTCTGTCGATTCCCGTGAGATCTCTTTTTCCAAGTATTGTCTTTATCCAAACTACTTAATTCTTCCAGTATGGAATTTTTACTTGAATATCTCAAGCAGAAAACTCACCGTGTTAAATCGTTAAGGCATTCTCAGATCACATGATCGGCATTTTACGGATGTCTGGGCATTTCCGGAAGCCGTGTGTTGAACACATCACTAGATACATAGGCACGTAGTCTTAGGAATAAGAGTTGGGATGGTGAGAATTAAGAAACTAGAAAGTACACTTTATAAATACAGTGGAATGATATACAAGATAAAAGTGCGGGGGGTGGGGGGTTAAATATGACACAGACGAGATATGATAAAATTCATAACAGTGAACAATTGGGTACAGTAAGCAGGGGGGTGTGGTCAGTGCTGGGACAATAGAAGGAAAAGCAGTAGTCTTTATTCTTAAAAAGAATTAGCAAAGGAAATGCCAATTCTTACTAATCATCTGTGGTAAAACAAAACAAAAAAGAAAAGTAATCCATATGTTTTACTTATAAGTATACAAGTGAAGCATCTGCAGACTACTATATGTTTTTATCAGTCAGAATTCTCCATTAGAAGTGACTGCGTGCAATATACCCAGTGTGCTATTAAAAGAAAGCTTTTAATGAGGCTGCAGAATCTTGCTGTGTGTGTCGAAAGTAGCTGAGCCACTTGACGTATTAAAAACCGAGGGATAAATAAGAACGCTAATCAGGTCGGAGGCCTTCGCCTGCTCTTTGCTGCAATTTGCTCATCGTTAAATTATTCAGAACATCATCGTTTTTTATGTCAGTGAGTAGGCACGACAACGCCTCGGCCAGCCTAATCGTTTCCCATCATCTGCCATTTTATGACTGACGTAGCAATAAGCAGATTGTCCCGATATTTATGCCATCTGTGGTTTGTGGAGATAATTAAAGTATATAAATTAATCAAGTGCAATTAATTAGGTCGTTTATGTTGGCGGCGGTGCATCGGCTTGCATGTATAATTTATATTTATTGATTTGTTTGCTTTCATTAGCCTATGAGAACAGTGGAGATGCATTAGCGCAGAGAGGGGAAATGCAGCATTAGCATTACAGGCCTGTGTGTGTGTGAGTGTGTGTGTGTGAGAGTGTGTGTGTGTGTGTGAGTGGGTGGATGGTCAGTAATTGATAGACCAGCGAGGGCTCTGTGCTGAGGCGACGTTGTGTTAACTGTCATAAGTGTCCAGGATCGATGTGGGAGGTTTCACTCTGGATCTTCTCGGTGTTGATGGATGGTTGACTATGAAAGCACCTCTTGGCCCTGCATGAGGCTGATATACTGAATCTACTGTCGAATCCACCTTCAGCCCACGACAGGTTGCAGCTGCAGGGCTAAGACGCGCCTTTAGAAAAGACACAGAAAATAATGTGTAGGAAAGAGTGATAGTAATTTCATTAGCGTTGATAAGAAAAGCTACCATATGTTCACTAATCCCATTCTTCCCTCTAGCTACAAATTGGCTTGTGTGGATTAGCATGACGTTAAAACCATTTTGAAGCATCGCAAGCTTTAAGCCGTTTTAATTGGACAGAGAGAGAGAGAGAGAGAGAGAGAGGGAGAAGAGCAGTATCTTTATCATACTATCTATATAAATATATCGACAACCATGATTTTAGCTTAGAGTCATGGACTCAGTGGAATCTTACATTTTTAAAGTTGCAACAAGTACATTAAGCTACAAGGCACTGAATCAGACTCCCAGTGTGCTCCAAGGATGTTGTTGCCATGGAGCTCGGTGGTAAGACAGATGACCCGGACGCGAGCCTCATTTTCCTAATTGTTCAGGTGGAATCAGTCCTCTTCTTTTTTTTTCCCTTCTTCTTTCTCCCACTCAGCTATTGATTATGTGGTTATTGATAAGGAATTACTGAGCAGCATGCCACTCAAGACCTTTTCTACCTAAAATGCACATCGACCTTCTGACCTCCTCTACAGCAGGCAAATTTGACCGTCCTTCTGGATATTCCCCGAGCGTTTATTTTCTCATAAGTTAATGTGCATTCTGGGGATTTATCTAGGAGAAAGGATGTGTATGAACCAGACAAAGGAGAAATGGATATACATTAAAATAAAAGAACTCAGCATAAATAAGTGACTCTGTACAGCCAGTGTACTACCCAACGGATCTCATCAGCTCTCATGAGCACCAGTGTTTGTTTAAACGTTTACATGTTTTGTCTGATTGGCGATGTTTTCGTCTGGTTTTTTCGAATTTCGAATTTTGGTGTTTTTTTTTTTTTTTCTTGGTCAACTCGACAACACTTGTTAAACACTCCCTTACATGTACATGCACATGCACAGTAAATCCACCTCATATTGGTTTAGAAATAAACCGGGCTAATGATACAATACAAACCAGTAATCAAAGTACATCACTTTCAAAACGAGATAAAAAACAGTTTTCTCTGATTTAAATGAGTAAACAATAAAAAAATAAATATAGAAATAAAGACTACCCTATTTTGACCTCTACAGGAAATTTCAAACATTCCAGATTTACATCCCTCAACCTGTTAAACTATCGACATTTCCTATCAGTTTAACTATAAGGTACTGAATTATTCATACTAGTTATAGAAAAAAAAACAGTTTAAAGAGGTAAAAATCTCATAGCATATTAAAAATAGTACATTTTAGTATATTTAATGTTGTCTAAAAATAATTATCTGTTTATCTACAGAAAATAAGTCCGCGAACAGAATCTAAAAAGTTTACCACGATGTAAAACACTATTATTTTACCTGTTTACTTCTGGAAAAATGGCGACCTCATTGTCTAGACCTGTATTACATTATATTATTATTATTATTATTATTATTATTATTATTATTATTATTATTATTATTATATAATTATTACATAGATTACTCAGTACCTCCAGAATTTTGTGATCGCAGAAATGAATGCAAAATCAAGCAAACGCATCAAAAACAACAAAAACAACCACAGAAGTGGGCCAAGACGCGTCATGTCACATCATCAAAACACTTATTCTTTCAAAACCGGCTTCGATTCACGTGCGTCGAACACGAGTACAGCTAAAAGTTCTCATTTACCAACAAACCGTTAAATTTTGTTTTGTTTGGTTTTTTTGCAGTTGCAGTTTTGCCGATTCAACAAAGGTGACAAAAAACTCAATAAGCTGCAACGCAAATTGCGAAGAAAAAAAAAAACATGCAACAAAATCAAGCATTTTTGGATGCAACAATAAAATAAAAAATAAAATACACTCTGTGTAATCCTTTATGGATTATTAGAATATTCAGTAAATATTCAGTGACAGGTTAAAAAACAAAAGTTTAATCATTACATAAATAACATTTCTGCAACGTTCTAAGAACATGTGCTGTGATTATGATTTGCTTCACTTTAGACAAAGACTAACATTACACTGTTGAAAAATCCGAGCTAACATTGCTATAGCTGAAAATGTTAAAGCACAGCTGTAGGGGCATTTGAATTGTGATTTAGAAATGTTTGCCTAACAGGACAGATTGAATATTCTGGGGAAAAAGCCCAAAGTTCCTAGAACGGTAATGTTCAGTAAACATTTTCCTAACCTTAAACTGAGTACTAATTCCTCGTGATTAGTCACATAATCACTGAATCTGAAGCTGTTTACAATTATTTTTTTAAATCCCAAATGTCAAATTTCAGGTTGTGTTTCCCTAATCCGTACCCTTCTCTCTCACCCCCCTCAACCATAACCCCCCGTTCTGCTATTTATAACTATTGACTGTGATAAGCTGAAAGTGTGAATGATGGTTATTGGCCGATGCTGAATAATGCAGGCACGTATCTGTTTGCCCACCAGTAAGAGAAACCTTTTAACCTTACTTCCCTCTGGGGGGTCGACCTTATACACATATATATGCACACTGCCAATACCACACACACACACACACACAAACACACACACACATGGAGCACATGGTCTGAAACTTACCCTCAGAACAGCTGGAGCGTTTCAGGGTGGTGGACTTGCGTCTGTCCCATATCAAC